GCCGCCGCCGCCGCCGCCGCCTGGGTGGGCTTCGGTGGCCTGTGGGCTCCAGGGCTGGACACGTGAGGGACATCAAAGGGGTGTTTCAGGGGCTTTTCCGTTTCTGCCTCGTGTTCTGTTCTGTCAGGTTCTCCCTCATCAAAGCCACTCTGTAAACGAACGCCTTCGATGCTCTGTGAAGGGCCTTTTAAAAGACAAGAGGTCTGCTCATGCAGAGGCAGACACAAGGGCAGAGGGTGCTGACGGCAAAGATAAGCCATTTGCTAACGGAGTTACGGGCCGTTCATGAGCTCCCACGGGTGAGCGAGAGCCTGTGCCACGTACCCTTCTCCGACCGGCTTATTGGCTCAGCATCATGCTCCCGGGACCATCCATGCTGTTGCAAAGGGTAGGAGTTCTTCCTTTTCCACCGCAGCGTAGGATTCCACTGTGTAGATGGACCACGGTTTGATGAACGGAAGGGTCGCGACCCACAGGTTGAGAACCGCTGGCATGAGCCATCCCGTGGTATCACAGAGCTGGTGGTCATGGAATGAGGGTCAGTGGCCCGGGGGAGGCCGGGCACCTGCCCGGAGGCTGGGCCCAGGACGGTGACCGGGACTTGCATTGCAGAGGGCGGACCTGGCCGTGGCCCCGCTCACCATCACCTACGTGCGCGAGACGGTCATCGACTTCTCCAAGCCCTTCATGACCCTGGGCATCGGCATCCTCTACCGCAAGCCCCGCGGCGCCAGTCAAACCTCAGAGGGAAGGAAGGCAGGGGAGGGGCGGCGGGGGGGGCGGTAAGAGATCAACTAAAGGACTTGTATGCGTGCGTATGACCATAACCAATGGACACAGACACTAGGGGGTGAGGGCACGTGCTGGGGGTTGGGAGCAGCTGGAGAGAGGTCAGTGGGAGAAAAGGGAGACATATGTAATACTTTCAACAATAAAGAAGTAAAATTAAAGGAAAAGAAGAAGTCATGTGCTGGGGGGGGGGGAGTATCCACCATGACCTGCTCCGTTAGGGGTGCTGGTCAGTCACCAAGGGGTGGTTCCCTAGAACCCTTCGGGTCCGCACGCACCTTGGCCAGGTGTGCGGATCTTTGCCTGTTTATTGGGGTTGTTGTTTTATATCCTGTGTGTCTTTCGAGCAGAAATCTTGTATCAGATCCGTGTTTTGCAAAGATTTTCTCCCAGGGTGTGGCTTGTCTTTTTATTCTTTGAGCAAATTATTTTGCAGTGTTTTTTAAGTTTATAAAGTCTACATGATTATTTTACTTCTTATTAAACTTCATGTACACAACTAAAAATTTTTTAAAAGACGGTAAGAAAATAACTTTATATCCATCTAATGTTATCAGTATTTCAGGCAAGATAGTTATGCTCACATCTCCCTGGGATTCCGTTACAACCAAAGCAGTGGCTCAGCCGATAAATCGAAAATGTCTCAACAGGAGCGTTTTTCCTGCCCATAGACTTGAACCCTGGGATAGTCCGGTAGGCAAGGCAGAGAGAAGTTAGCGAGGAGCTGTTGTAGCCAATAGAAACACGGGAATAAAACCAGACCATGACAGCCTCAGGAATAAAGACAAATCCTTTCAAATGTTTGTAAAATTCACTTTTACAAAAACATTAGAGATGAGAGAATCCTGGAAATAACTCGGGGAGGAAGCATGACACAGCCAGATCTGGAGGCCTGAGGTGCGTGCTGTTGCTGATGACTGGGGAACCTGTGTCCTGAGACAACCCTGTACCCAGCTGTTCTGCTCCGCACAGTTCCTCACGGGCCTGAGCCTCTAGGATTATGTTTCCTAAACACCTTCGGTGCTGAATTTAAAACAGCGACTTCCTCTTCCCGCTACGTCGGCAGCTGCTGTCCCTGGAGAAACCGTGCAAAACAACTGCTTTCTGTCTCCCACTCGCTTCCCATCCCTCCCATCTTCCAGCAGAAGCCGGTGGACTAGTTCCCTAATCAGTTCCTGCCCCCTTCCCGCCCCCACCCCGAATGTGTAAGAGAAGGTTTCTTCACGCTCCCTAATCAGTTCCTGCCCCCTTCCCGCCCCCACCCCCCAAATCGTCTCTGCGCTGTGCACGGCAGGGTTTGATGACTGCCAGGGGCTCTTCCCCTGGAGTAATGACAGAGAAGGTTGGGAAACTCGCCCAGGCGGGCAAGGTCTGAGATCCACGAAGCAGACAGTCACCCTGACGAGGGGTCTTTACACCCCCAACAGGAAATGAATCTTTTCTCCACGCCTATCACAGCATGCCCTTCCCAAACCCAGACTGGTTCCCACATTTCGGCCAAATATTAAACTACTTTTAAATAGTGACCAAAGCTCTCCTCCCATAGGTCTTACCTCAGAAGATCACATGTTGACAAAATATATAGTCATATATAGTAATATTTATGGTTTAACTAGAGGCCCGGTGCACGAAATTTGTGCACTCGAGGGGTCCCTCAGCCCGACCTGCGCCCTCTCACAGTCCAGGAGCCCTCGGGGGATGTCCGACTGACAGCTTAGGCAGGGAGCGGGCCTAAGCCAGCAGTCAGACATCCTTTACACTGCCGTGGAGGCAGGAGAGGGTCCCGCCATCGCTGCTGCGCTCACCAGCTGTGAGCCCGGCTTCTGGCTGAGCAGTGGGAGCGCACTGACCACCAGGGGGCAGCTCCTGCATTGAGCGTCTGCCCCCTGGTGGTCAGTGTGCATCATAGGGATCGGTTGTTCTGCCGTTCCATCGGTTTGCATATTAGCCTTTTATTTTATAGAATACGGTAAATCATTGGTTCTCGGCGGGGAGAGGTTTTGTCTCCCAGAGAAACAGCTGACAATGTTCTGGAAACATTTTCTGGTTGTCACAACGGGGGTGCAGGTGGGACTGGCCCCTGGTGGGTGGGGTCCAGAGATGCTGCTAAACATCCCATAATACCTGGGCAGCGCCCACCACCAGGCTGAGCGGCCACGCCGTGAGTAATTAGAGATGTTTGGGATATCAAGTTTTGTTTTTGTTTTAAATATGTTTTTATTGATCTCAGAGAGAGATAGAAACATCAATGATGAGTGAGAGTCATTAATCAGCTGCCTCCTGCACACCCCCCACTGGGGATCGAACCCGCAACCCGGGCCTGTGCCCTGACCGGGAATCGAACCCTGGCCTCCTGGTTCCTAGGCCGTGTGCCTCCAACGATGAACGAGAAATCTCGCGCTGGCTCTTCCCCGGGCCCCAGGCTGTCGGGGACGCAGGGACGGTCGGGCATCCACGCAGCAGAGAGGTGAGTCCACTCCCCGCGGCTCCGCTCTGTCCTGGAGGCGACGCCCACGGCGTGAGGAAGTCGTTTATTGGTCCCGGGACGTGTCCAGCTGGTGGGAGGAGATCCGTCAGCAGGATTCCCGGGCACACGGGCAGGTGCCCTGTCACGCTAGACCTTCACCCGCCTCACATTGCCTGGTTTTTGTCATCAGATCATGTCAAGATGGTGGAAAATGTAGTTGTTTTCCCCGTTTCTCTATAAGCTCTTGGTGACCCAGGTCCCCACGTTTTCCAACTTCGTTCTATTTCTATTAAGAAAGCAGCCTCCTCCCCCAGTGGATACCATCACCCAACAGTTCCGCTCACGGACAGCCCATTGCACACCAGCTCTCCTGTGCTTATCTCTCTCCTGCTCACACTCATCACTGTCTGTCTCCTGGTCACAATCATCTCTGTCTCCTGCTCACACTCATCACTGTCTGTCTCCTGCTCACACTCATCGCTGTCTCCTCTCTGGTCTTGGGAGTGAGGTGTGGGCATCAGTGCAGACTTAGACAGTGGGTGCTGGACCCAGGGGGTGGCCCCCGCCCTGGCAGGTGTCCTGTCCGGTGTCTGCTCTCGGCTGTGTCCCCTTCTCCACAGCCCTGACCCCACCCCTGACCCCAGCCCTGCTTCTCCCCAGGAGCGGCTGAGGCCCGAACGCGGTGGCTCCGCCCCTGGAGGCTCAGGGGTGAGATGGCTCCTGTCAGCTCCTCAGCCGTTTGCGTTCAGTTAGTGACAGAGAACGACACAGTGAATCGCATCCTCGTCGCCCTCTCCAGGGAGGCGTGTGGTGTGGTTTTGAATAAATCTACGTCCTTCTAAAGAGGAAGGATGAGGCTGGTCGCTGCTTTTAGGCTAGCGCGCTCCTGGAGAGCGGCTTACGGGGCACTGGCCGAGCTGAGCTGCGTGTGTGATGTCACACATCAGTGCACAAGCTAAAGGGAACGACACCAGCCCCCGTCACCCTGGCTGGCACCGGGGGGCACGTCGGGGTTTTGGTTTTGTGGTTGACATTTTTTCTTACTATTTTTTGAGAAATATTTAACCTGAGAAATCATGTCTACTATCATGAACACACAATTTAAATAGATCAACAATCCAGATGTAACGCCTGCTTATATTTTATGATATGTTTGTCCTTCTTAAATATAAACTTTTTTTTTTTAAGTTGGTATCTGGCCAAAAAAAAAATCAAGAAAACCTTTGGCTGTAATGCCAAGGTGATTGCACAAACCCAGCAGTTCTTCCTCCTAGGCCGGCCGGCGGGGCTCAGGGGCTGAGCGTCGACCTAGGAGCCAGGAGGTCAGGGTTCAATTCCCAGTCAGGGCACAGGCCCGGGTTGCGAGCTCGATCCCCAGTGTGGGG